GTGCCGTTCTCAACCCCGCCCGCCTCTGCTCACTCAAGCCGGCCTCCGCATACTCTAGGCCACGGCTCACTCTAGGCCTCCGGCCTCCACTCACTCAAGGCCACGGTGTGTAACGCTTTTTCGTTGTGAAAGCAAAACTACTTTGTTTGGCCTTCCAAAAGAGGACACGACTAGAAATCAGTGGTTAAGTTGTATTTACAACACTGTTCCAGAACAGTTTAACCCAAATATTCCGATGTGTCCAGCGCATTTTATGGAGGACTGTTTCCTGATCCTGGTAGAGTAGACTACAATGCCGGCTGTTCTGACTCACAGACAGTAAGTACATTTTTTATATTTACAGAATTTGCCACTGACGATTTTGACGTTTTTTGGTCAGTGTAGAGTAGCACTTGTTGTTTGTCATTTGTCCGATCACAAATGCAGACATGGTTTTATGTTACGCTCCGGCCGGACAGGGCATCACAATATGGTAAGGGGCGTAACATTTCCGTCACACGCTTGAGGTATTCGGCCAATCACAACGCACTGGATAGCAGGCCAATCAGAGCACACCTCGCTTTTCAGACCGATGAGCTTTGTAAAAATCGACGCGTTTCAGAAAGGCGGGGCATAGAGAAGAAACAATAATGTACAGCATGTGGAAAATAATGTGTTTTTTGAACCTTAAACCGCATAAACACATTTCATTACACCAAATACACAAAATAATGTTATTTTTAGCAGCATCATATGACCCCTTTAAGGACATGTCTTTCAGAAAAAGCTTTCAGTAAACAAATACTCCATAGACTGTTTTGAGTTAAAATTACATGATCTAGCACGTTTATATAGTGCGTGCTTTTGTAAAAATTGCCTCACAGCCTCGTTTTCGTCAATGTTAAATTCAATAAGGCGTCTAACCTGATTATGGTCTAAGAAGATTGTATTTTGGTGTATTTAGTCTGTCTTCAAAACATATCACAGAAGATACATAGAATAATTCCATGATACTTTTATGGTGCTATTGCATCTTCTTTACAGCTTCAGTTCTCAATGAATTGGAATTGCATGGAAAACGGCTAGTATACAATCTTTTATTTTTCTAATTGCATATTTTATTCTGAAATACATCACATTAGAACTAAAAATGATTGTGACGACTTAATGTTTCATGTGGACTTAAACTTGCTGCTCAAAATTATCCCTATCAATGTCCGCTAAAACCTTTTGTATTTACCTTTACCTTTGTTTGTTAGCGTGTGTGTAAGAACATGCTAAAGCGACCAGCTACAAAGTCTGTTTGTTTCGACACTTGAGAGAATGCACTCAGTTTCAAATGCTGTCATCACATGGCCTCAAACAAAGTTCTCCTCTTGTACTGTAGTTAATAATAGATTAAATAACTAGAGGCTAACAGGGCTTATTTCAGTATCAGGGCCTGTTATCTCTCAGTCTCTCTTCCTTCAGATAGCTCCTCCACACACTGGGCTCAGAGAAGGACTATGTTACATAAATATTACAATTTTTCCAAACAACCTAACATTATATTCATTAATGGCATGACTCAAAGACTGCATCATCATCCTGGCTTTAATCTTGGCCACCGTTTGCAAGTATGGCCTTGATCTTCACTCAACAGACCACGCCTGATGAAAGTCAAGGTTCCCATCCCTTTTGACCATGACTTTTCTGACTTAATACTTTTCTATGACTTAAATAACACACACAAAAAAGAAAAATCACAAAAGAATACACTGCACTTTTTAACGTGTGACATTACTGTAACTTTTTTGCACGTCTTAAATAAATTGTATTATTTTTCATCTTTAATAATTAATATTTAAATGTTTTATTATATAAAATATTATATTATAAAAAAATCAACAATTATAAATACTAAAATGTATAAAAAATATTTTTTGTTAATAAAATTACTAAAAAATCTTATACGTTGATAATGCTTTATAGCATTTATAACATAAGCATATGGTACGGTTAACATTCGCAGTTACTTATTTTTGACCAATAGCCTGCCAGTTTGCTTCCACCTTAAAGGGGTCATATGATGCTTTTCAGATTGTCATAGCAAAGTCAGAATTACCTCCTCTCCTAGGTTCACGAAACGGTCGTCCATAAAATGCATTGCTGTTCTGTTGTAAGTAATCTTAAAGATTCCTAAATGCATCTACTTTCGGAAGGCCAAATAAAGTGCTTTTGCTTTCGCCTAGAAACACACAGCGTCTCCCTGACATGGCTGCTTCAATACTAACTGCGGTTACTGAAACCACGCCTTCTTTCTTTGCGTTTACATTTGGGCGGCATTATGCAAATATTTCCACATAGTGAGGTAGATATGTGGGGGCGTGTTAGAACGAGCCGTTTTAGGGGGGCGTGGCAGAGTCTTAACTTTGATAAAGTATATCTCTTTGGTTTTGAGACTTTAGTCTTTGCAACTTCAGGGATCTTATCTATGCACAATCAGCTTGTAACACTCCAACGAGAAAGGAAAACTTGAAATCGCATCATATGACCCCTTTAATTTTTAATTAAAAATTAAAAATAAATTTTCCCAACTAGGAAAGTTGTAAGAACTAAGATTTCCCTTTTAATTACAACCGTAATAAGTGCGCTTATCATGACCAGAATGCAGCAATATCATATAGGGCCTTAGTGCCCCAATGCATCACTGGAACCCGGGACAATTCTCCCAGGTGTCTCCCTCTGCTCTGACAACAACCCTGAAGCTGAGCATAACCAGAGTAATGCACAACGACTACCCATTCAAGATTTACTTTTAGGCCTGGAATCAGGCATTTGCAGGTTTTTAACACTGTGTGTCTCTCAGCTGCACAGGCAGTAGGAATGCACTGTATACTGTGGCACACTCTACTTTCAGTACTGTGGTAAAGATGCATGCAATGAGTGCTACAATATCCTAAGGATATAAGCTACGCGTATAACCTGACATATGCAGCATTTTCGTGTTTAAATGTAATGATTAGTTCAGCAAACTGTAAGCTACGTCATCAGTGCATAACGCATTCGGGTGAAAACATTCCAGTGACTCTAGAACGCTTGGAGGAGGAGGAGGAGGATGATGAGGATGAGCCATTGCCCTTGGTTAGGCGTGACATATAACCTTCCTGGGCAATGACGTCACTACAGCCGTATCGTTTTTAACCCACAATTGATTTATTATGCGCGTCTTAGATAAAAACGCACGACTCACTCCGCGTATCCCGTTCGCCAGGGCAGCCTGCTGTCTCTCTTGAGCGCGATGACCGGTCTGGACGCGTGCTCGGTGGAGTACTGCAGCAGCTCCGGCGTCAGGTCCAGAAACTCGGGTCTGCTGTAGGGGAAGCGCGGCGGCAGCCCGTCAGTGCCGCCGTTCTGCGCGGATCCGTGCTGCTGCTGCTGATGGTGGTGGTGGTGGTGGCCGTGCGGGATAATTCCGCCCACCAGCGAGGACATGGCATTTTTAACTTTGCTTATCATCGCAATAAAATATGTGACATCAGCGGCGCGCGAGGAACGGTAATCTTATTAACGATGCGACCCTATACGAGTCCAGCGGCAAAAACAAAACGCACAAACGCGTACAGTGGTTCAGTCACGATGCAGGAAGCGATTGACCCCATGTGACGATTTGACAGAGAACGTTTTCCTCATCGAAAAAATCCTCTCCCTGCAGAGTGTGTATCATCACCCGAGAGGCTTATATCCGCCTATAGCACGGAAGATGGGAGTGCTGTATACTATAGCACTCTCAGCCGACCAGCCAGTGAATGTACACAGCGACCACTGAGTTATACCATGACTATCAGGGAGGCGACTATTTTACAAGGATTTTCGTCTTTTCAATTAATTTTATAATAATAATAATAACAACATCAAAATATTAATAGATAATCTACCAACAAATGTTTTACATGTTTTTATTAATATTTACATGATCATTATCTTCATATTTATTAATTAAAACAATAAAACAATTTTTCATTAATAAAACTGCATTAATAAAAATTATGCTAAAATATTTTGTTTTTGTAATATATATCACATTTTTGTTACATGTTTTATTAATATTTACATTATTAATATTTTCATATTTATTAATTTTGAAATTAATTAATGTTTTGTAATTGTTTCTGACTTTTCAAGGATAATAATAATAAAATGTAAATTTAAGGTTAATTTCAGGATGAAATCTGTCAAGGTTCTCACAACTGTCGTTAGCACAGTATAAATTAATAATTTAAAAAAATAAGTAAAAACATTTTTCATTAATGGAATGCAGTTTTCATTAATAAATATATAACTTTGAAAAAGTTAACAATGGAAGCGTCTGTTTACTGGGTGATTTTTTTTTAAAGTGAACTATCCCTTTAAGATAGAATACACGATACACCCTCTGTTATTGCAGTAACAGGCTATACAACTTTGGTTTCCCGCTTTAAATTGTGTAAAAGTATAAAGGGAAGTTTTGTAAGGGACTGGATTAAAGATTTTAGATAGACAGACAGACAGACAGATGGACGAACGGACGGACAGACAGACAGACAGACAGACAGACAGATAGATAGATAGATAGATAGACTGACTGAAAATGTTAACAATTTAAAAAAAATACATAAATAAAATAAAAACAAAAAAATGAAAGGCCTGTAAAGATGCCCAATGAAAGCAGAGTTATAGATGACAGATTTGTTTGTTTGTTTTTTAGTGTACTGTCCCTTTAAGACAAAATGCAGGATACACTCCCTTGGATGTGGATAGCAAATGTGACACATTAACACATGATTGGGCATCATTAAAAACGTCTTTGTAGAATCAAATGTGTCTTTGACAAGCTCTCTGGGACTGCAGTGTTTCCCATGAGATGCCTTGAAAAGAACTGATGCACTAATAATAACTACATTTGAAACCCCATGGCTTTGTTTTCTCAGTAACACAGTCACAGACAAGAGAAATATGCTTAATCAAAGTTGCCTTCAGATGCTCGCTATTCTCTCAGAACCCTGATGTGCTGCTTCTGAAGGATTCTCTCTGCTCTTCTCTGTGTTCTGAGACTATAAAGCGCCCATGATTCAGACATACGGCCGTGGCCTGCCCTGCTGTTTAATGTGACACTGGTAAACATTTCAAATGTCTGATACTTTTATCATGAAAGCCTGTCAGGGTTTGCCACAATGGTTCTCTTTCATTTCAGCTTGATAGAGGCTAAACCGAGCTATGGCATAAACCACATATAGTAATAGACAAATAAATAAATAAATACATAAATAAATATTTTCTAGTATAATAATAATACATATTTAAATAATAATAATAATAATGTTATTTAAATGTATGATCCCGGTGTTATTCAGTATGATTAATTTGTTGCTTTCTCTCCATTCATTCTCTTTCCCTTTTTTTTTGCTCTCTCTCTCAGGTTCTCTTAACATACAAAATGAAGCAGCTACTTGGAAACAATAATCTTTGAGTGCTATCATCAGTATTAACATTGCATTGATTGCCCATAAGAGTAATTTACATTAAGTTGCCTAGCAGGCATCTTAATTCAGGTTGATTATGCAGAGAGCAGCTCAAACCTCTTCACAGTCATACACTTATATCTCTGTGTTCATTCATCATATTAGTTTTGGCTTAGTAAAATGATGCAATAGGATGCAAAATGAATGTGGATATCGAAGGAATAGTTTACATAAACAAATAAAGATAGACAGAGAGTCACTAATTCCTTTTTAATTTGTTCATCACACAAAGCACTTTATTACAAAACTGCAAAAGTCTAAGAGTCTTACAAATATATATTACTAATATAATATATATTGCAATATATTTCACTACTTTTATGGTGTTGTTTGATAGTTTGGTGCTTTATAAGATATATCTAGGTCTTAATTCTAGGTCATGCATAGAGTTTATAATATGTAATAAACACTGTAGGCCTCTAATTAATCAACAACTTTTTTTGGTTACATTTTCACTAAAGGATTGTTTCTTTCTTCTTTGATATCTGATCAGTATTTGAGTTCAAATAACTATATCAGCATTTTTTAAACCACAGCATGATTTTGTATACATATGCTGATCTGTTTATGAGAGATGCTGAGGATAGGTTGGACTGTAATTACAAAAATCCCTTTTCCTTTCCTTTTTTCTTTTTACTTTAAAATGTACTTTTAACACAGTACAGCATTTACATTGCTAACTCGATTTTAAAAACTATCAAATCTTCAGGCATCACTGAAGTGTTCCAGGACACTTTCTCATTCTAAAGCTCTAAATTTCTCACTTTCTAAGCTAAAGACTGACATCTTCTGGCTCTCACATAAAATTGCAGTTACTTACCCAAAAAAACAGACATGTGGCCAAGTATGGTGACCCATACTCGGAATTAGTGCTCTGCATTTATCCCATCCAAAGTGCACACACACAGCAGTGAACACACACACACACACACTGAACACACAGTGGGCAGCCATTTTTGCTGTGGCACCCGGGGAGCAGTTGGGGGTTCGGTGCCTTGCTCAAGGGCACCTCAGTCGTGGTATTGAAGATGGGAGAGAGCGCTGTACATTCACTCCCCCCACATTCGCTCCCCCCACCGACAATCCCTGCTGGTATGAGACTCGAACCCGCAACCTTTGGGTTATGAGTCTCTAACCATTAGGCCGATGGACCAACCATTGGACCAAACCACCAATACAGGATTAGACTATAAACCTTTTTGTTTTATTGTACTGATAATCATACATGATTCTTTTCCATTCTGTTAAAAACGTAATTATGAAACATATAATTTTACCAACTAAAATATTTCTATTTTCCTTTCCACAGGAAAACATTAAAATATGAGGAACTGGATCATCCATACTGACCGGCTGTAGGTACCAGTTTTTATTATGAGAATCTATTGATTAGAGTGTAAACGAGCACACAGTAATGTGTACATGTCTCAGTGCGTGTGTGCTGTGAACCTGTTGCATTATGTTGGCAATAACAGGAACTCGCACTGAATTATTGATTCACTGCTGCTTTCCCCTGAAACCATTACTTCCTCATTCTCTCTCTACATTACCCTTCGTTTTTTTTTTTTTTTAAAGCACATGACAAGCTGGACTCATCACAAGTCTTTGTGAGTTCAAACGAAGGACACTGGAGTTGTGTTCTTATTTTAGACTCATTGATGGCTGCACCCTGTTAGATAGACTACAGTACGCTTCTGTCTGCCTGGATGTGAGGAGAAAATCTTTAAAAAATAAAAGCCTATGGGTTTTGTGCTTACTGCCTGTTCTAAAAGGCACTTTCTAAGAAAAGGGTGAATGATGCATGAAATTAGTGAAAGGAGCTGCTTCAGAAAATGTTGAATGACCACCTCAGGAGGTCAAATTAAATATCATATAAACTCAATTCATTTTCTATGAGGTATGCAATATCTGAAACCCTGTTTCCATGATTTGGGATATGTATAAATACAATTGAAAACCAATAGTTGTGTGATTGCATAAAATAAATAAAATAAATAATATAAAAATAGTATGTTTCATTAAATGTAATTAAAATAGATTTTCTACAAAAGTTGGATACAGCTTCTATAAAAGTTAAATACAACTTAATATAGACCTTAATTTATAGACCTCTGAGGGGGGACAGGCCAAAAATCACTATTTTAATCAAAATGTTTTCCATTTTAAGGTTACAGATATTTGATCTTTAAAACAACCTACTTTTCTTGAGGTATAGATTTTAAATCTGATAATAGTTTTTCAAACAGTTCTCACTCCAGAAATGAGTGAAACATTTTGTGTTTCAGCAAGTGTATAAAGGTTAATGACTCCTTTGTGAAAAAATGGAAATAATATTCTTTAAAAGAATTTACTTAGTGTTTGAAAACTAAATGCGTTTTCAGACACTTAAAGGCACAATATGTAATTTTTTTTAATTAAAATATCCAAAAACCACTAGAACAGTGTTCTATATTTTGCTGACTTGTGTACTTACATTATCCCAAATGTTTCGAAGAATGTTTAAATCCAGAGAAATAAGCAATTTTAACTAGTGACACGGACCGTGTCTATAGTGTCATTGTGTCGTCTGCCAATGACGTCATAACCCCTCGATTTCCGGTTTTGTTTTGTAGAAAACATGGAAACACCAAAGACGCTTTAATATGTTGTGTGTTTTATTAGACCGGTGACGACCGCACAGAGTAGCATAATAACAGAACTTTCAAATTGCATCTCCAATCGCAGCGAAAGCGTTTCCTCGCTCCTGCATCTTCCACCCTATGACCCGGACACCGATCGATCTCAGCTGTCTAATGATCTAATGATAGAAATGTAGGGGAAAAAATCAGAAGTCGTTGAAATGTTGGCTTATCTTAATAAGATATGGTTTATATTCTTTATTTAGTACATAAATGCAAAACTTACCCTTCATCAAGTCTCAGACTCACAGTCAAATGTTTGCCTATAAAAAGAGAAAAACATATGTGGGGGGGGGGGCTTTAAAGTGGTTCAAATATTGACTTATCTTAAGATATGGTTTATATTATTTATTTAGTACAGAAATGCAAAACTCACCCCTCATCCAGTCTCAGACTCACAAGCGTGTGCCTGTAAAAAAACCAAACCAAATTATTCAACTTAAATTTACTTGTAAACAACACACACACAAGCAAAGACATTTCCTATACAAGAACCTCATAACCCTTTAATAACCTGAGTTGCCTAAAAACAATTATCAAGATGGATGGTGATCCTCACTGTAATGTGCTCAGTCATAGCCTACAAAGGGAGGTAAACGGGGAATTGTTGGTTAATTGCTAATTACAGTTAAGCCCAAAGATGTAAGTTACACAACACTTTTACAGACTTTTTGTTCATGATTAAAATATGACCGATTCATACAACATAATGCATTTGTTTGCATTTACTGTTACCTGTAATCTGTTACCAGTAAGCAATTTGCAATCGTAAAACAACATTATATATCAAATATATGATGATGGCCAATAAAATAACGAATGGCACAGAAAACGAGCTTGTGAGGAACAGATGTAACGTTAGGCCTACAGTGCGTCCAACTGAATGTAACGTTTAACATGTCGGTTGTTCGGCTGACAAAAACGTCTTTCTAAAAAAGTAACGTTAGTCACAAATGAACAAGGTTAACAATTGTTTGAATCGTGGTCTCTTAAATCATATTAAGAAGTTTCATATGTTCATCTAGTTTGAATAGAACAAACTGACAAAGCTGGTGTCGCTCGGGCGTCGTCTACCTCAAGTTAGCTTATATTATCCTAGCTTGAACGGTTGATAAAAAAATACAATAATACATTTTTTACAGTGTGCGTCATCAAACTACGCCTTTGCCTCTTTGTTTATTTTGAATACGCGCCCTCTAGCGGCGAAAATTACATATTGTGCCTTTAATTGCATGTCATTTACAATTAATTGAAAATGTGTAGTTTAAGTTTATATTAAATGCAGTTGGTTAAATTTAAGAGCACTTTTTGACCTTGTTTAATAGGACTTACATCTTTATATATAATTTCATAATTCTATTGACTTTGAAATATAAAAATTGCACTGACAAGCATTCATGGTAAACTAAAATATACTTAAATGTCATTTCTATTGATCATTTCTATATGTATTTGTACACATTTATAATGATGAAGTTGCAATTATATATTAGATATAATTATATTAATATCAAAGGACACTACAGTTACACAACTTAAAATTAACACTAGAATAAGTAATAATGTGCTGTTTCAACTTAAAAGTAAGTGTTCGTGCCTGACTTAAAATTATGTTTAGTTAACTTTAGTTTAGTTAAGTTGGATATTTAAGTTATCTCAAATTTTAAGTTGTTATAACTAATTGCTGCAATATTTTTACACGGTATAATCAAGTACCTTACACGTGCTTTAGTATGTTAATCAACAAATCAAAATAGGTGTACTTTTTAAAAACTTGACAAAAGATTATTAAAACATAATGATTTAAAAAGTGCACGAGTGTCTAAGTCATGGAAGTGTATCTCTTTTTATTACATTATCTGCAAATACAGTTTTTTAAAATATACACTTTGAAGATTACAAGTACACATTCAATAGTACTCAAAAAATAGTGCATTCACCAGTCAGCCTTCAACACACAGTTGAAGTCTACACTCAGTGTGCTTTAACCTTTAAGAAAGGAAAGCAGTGTGATTGACTGCTTGGTCTTGAAACAATAAAGGTATCTCAGGAAGCATATAACATACACTGTAAAAAAAATTCCGTAAAATTTACGGTAAAAAACCGGCAGCTGTGGTTGCTGGAATTTTACCGTAAAAAGTACGGTAGCAACGTTTTAGGTTTTACGGTTTTAACTTAAATTTACAGTTAAATACCGTAATTTCATTAACTGATATAATGTTAATATACCAACCTTATTGAAGTACTGAAATCTGTTTTGTACCTTTGTAATACACTGATAACCACCAAATGCAGGTGGTGATGAGAAAGTCACATGATGAACCAAAGCCCATCACAAGCAGCTTTTAAATAATAACATATATAGAAGGTGCACAGTGTCATTCACACAAACACCAAACACCGTCATGGTAACACACATGAAACTGAAATAATGCAATAAACATTCATTTAACAACATTAGGTGTAACACACAACCCTAATATACAAAACTGATAAGAAAAACTAAGAAGAAACATAGTTATTTCAACAAAAAAACATCAAATTTGAAATGTAATGCAGGGAATTCTGGGAATGTAAATTTACGGTTCTTTACTGTAAGTTATACGGTCTTTTTCACTTCCAAAAACGGTATACTACCGTAAAATTAATGTCCAATACATGTAATGTCCAATACAGTTTTTCACCGTATATAGTAGGGGAATTTACCGTTAACAATTTAACAGGTTTTTACTGTAGCATTTTTACAGTCTTTTACTGTTAAATTCACGGTCATTTTTTACAGTGTACATTTCATCTTAGAGGCTTGAGTTTCACCCTTAAGCAAACAACTTAATGAGATACGCAAGTGCTGGCTCCCATTAAATAAGAACAAATGTGAGCAGTCCTTATCCACAGCATAATGCAGGTGTGATTCTTTAGTCATCGGTGAGTCACTTGTCACTAGTTCTCATGTGCCTTTCACTAACAGTTTTGTGACCCATTTGAATTCAGTATTTGTGCAAATGACCCAGTGCACGTTGTTATCGCACATCTGTTATTTCACAATCATGTCATGCATTGCACTAACCTGGATATAGCGGTGCTCTGCTTCAATTTTGTTTTGATGCACTGCCATCAATTCTTTGGGAATATTACACGGCCAGTGAAGATGAAGCACCTTCAGTGCAAAGGTTATATAACGCAGTCCCACAGACACGCATCCATCACTGATAATGAGGACAGATTACTCCACAATTCAGCTTCTTCATGTTCTTCATCTTCTGTGTGCTACACCACCACAGCTGAGGATGCTTATATTGGATAAACTGCCTTTCTGTTCACTAGTTTTGTATGGCTTTTGCTCATTAATTTCATATAGCACATATAGCATCAGTGTTGTTCATAAGGGCTGCAAATGTTAGAAGTTTTCTAAATCTCATCATCATTTTATATAGGTAACATGCTCATCTATTTGGGTGAAGAAAAGAATCCTGTCAAGAACATGTCTTGTTTATACTTATATACTTACACTATATAATCCTTTTTTACTTTTAGCTGTTTTAAATTAATTTAAAATCATTTAAAAGTTTTAATGATTATTTTACTTTCTTTTATGTAAAACACTTTGAATTACCATTGTGTATGAAATGTGCTATATAAATACACTTGCCTTGCCTTGCCTATATGTAAAATGAAGACTGTTAGGACCATAATGATTTTTGTTTTATATTATGACAGTACATAGCATATTCTTCCCTCATTTTCCTCTATCCCCCAATTCTCATTATTGCACTACAATAATAAATAAATTATTGCAATGCAATGTAATGCAAAAAAAAAGAAAAGAAAAAAATTATATAAATAAATAATTAAATAATTCTGTGAAGTATTTAAGCAGATTTAAACAATAATAAAAAATATATAGCATATTACTCCCTCATATCCACCACTCTCCTCCCTCATTACCGTAATGCAAAAAAACATTACCATTATTAAAAATATATAATAATAATAATAATAATAATAATAATATATGTATAAAAAAATATATACAAAATAAATGTATATAAATATATAATTAATTAATTAATTAATTAATTAATTTACTTATGTGCTGCTAATTTCTCATTACCATAGTACAAAAAAAAGTGAAACAAAAATATATATTTTTTTATTTATTTGAAATATTTAACATTATGATATTGTTGTACTGTTAAATAATAATAATAATAATAATAATAATAATAATAATAATAATAATAATAATAATAATAATAATAATAATAAATTGTATTTTTTATCAATAACAAGAATCACCATTGATAATAATGGGAATTGCAAACACATTATGGTATTGAGAATGTATTTAATTGTCATGAAAATAATGTCAAAGCAAAAATAAAAAAATGGTCAATAAGCTTTTTTAATGCAGAATAAATATTTTGTCTTCATTTTTGGGGGGTAAAATTGAACTTGAACATGTTTTTGTAAGAATTATCCATTGGATACTTCATGTTAGCTTGCATTTGGGTCATGAAATGTTCTGATTGATTCATCTGTTTTAAAAAAAAATATAATTTTAAAAGTTTTTAAAATGGAGCAAAGGCAACAACAACATTACAAAACATGAATGTTGTAATGCCACAACATTACAAAAGGCAACAACAACAGCAAAAAGCATTGACCGGTTTGTGCAGGGCACGGCCCATCAGCGAGAGGGTTTGTTTATGATGCCAGTAGAGTGTCTGGTCATTAAAGGTGAGCACTAATGTACTGTGTGTATCATCCCTGAGCCAAAGCAATCACTGACCTCATTAATTATTCTTCCCATCTGCTTCTTATGGAAGTAGGAAGCCAGAGCAATCTGATGAAGTCATAATAGTACTGGAATTACCATATGGAACCATTTTATGAGTGAGACCTAGAGATGAAGAGATTCTGAGCAAAAACATGCATGTGTAAAGATGAACATTTCACTTTGCGGCATCTTTGCAAAGTAGATTCATTCATGGAATACCAAATTCGGTCGCAATAAAGCTTCTCAGTGCAAATCATGTTGGAATTGATTGAACAAAGTGGATTAGGAATAATAAGTGATCGAAGTTCTGCAATCTGGGGTTCATTAACAAATGTGTTTTCAATTACTCAATCCCATTATATACACATTTAAATTATCTTAATGTCATTGCATTACACACAAAATACCACATGAAGTGGCAACTTTAAACAAATCATGCTAGCTTTTTCACATTACCACTTCTGAATCATTTCTGAAATGACTTTTTTCCCCCATTTTTTCCCTCAATGTGATTTTATGTATGAAATTTTTCTCACTGATCACTTTCTCTCAGGTTGTTAGATTTCTAAACCACACTTAAAATGCCTTAAAATGACTGCATTATATGCAAAATATCAAATCAGTGACATTTGCAATTGAATTATTAATTTCTTAACCATTTTTATTATTTGTACCTCTAAGATAAAATCTGTAAATATTAAATTAAAAAGAAAATATTTAGAG